CAATCGGTGAATACATTGTGTTCAAACGTCTACAGATTTGCTGAGAAAGTTGTCTTGGAAAAGAAGTCCAGTGTATGTTTTACATTGAAGTAGAATGATAACTTTGAATTCTAGTTTAGAATAGAAATTATGATTGGAATCTTTCCTGAGTAAGTTCTATTTAAATTTCAGTTAGACATTGAATATAATTTAATAAAGATATTAAGCGGAATTCAGAAGGACACGGTGGCACCTGTCACGGGGTCCGGGCAGCCCCAATTTTTTCTTAGTTTTAAACTAGCCCCAGCACTACTCCGTAAAAACGCAGTGTTTTGTAGCGCCTACCGGGGAACAAAGTTCTAAATCCAAGACACAATGTCAAGTAAAGGTCTGAGCTGGCATTTGCTTGTTGGATCCCATTGAAATCCGATTGAAATTCAATCGGAATTCTAGAGAGCGGCTGTCAGTGGCACATAATTTGACAAGAACACACTCCAACCACAATTTCTGTTTCATAATAATTTAGATCAAATTGCATCCGTCGAATTTCTTTACAACAACAACAACAACAGCAGCAACAGCAACAGCAACAGCAACACCAACACCAACACCAACAGCAACACCAACACCAACACCAACACCAACACCAACAGCAACACCACCAGCAACACCACCAGCAACACCAACAGCAGCACCACCAGCAACAACACCAGCAACAACACCAGCAACACCAGCAGCAACACCAGCAGCAACACCAGCAACAACACCAGCAACCACACCAGCAGCAACACCAGCACAACATCCAAGCACAAAACCTTCAAACACACCACAACATCACGGCCCCCCACGACAACACCAGCAACAACACCCGCAACAACACCACAAAACAACACCAGCAACAACACCGCAAAAACAACCAGCAAAACCAGCAACCAACACCAGCAAAACAACACCAGCAACAACACCACAACAACACCAGCATCAACACCAGCAACAACACCACAGCAACACTAGCAACAACACCAGAACACCACAAAACACCAGCACCACCAGCAACACCAGCCAAACACCAGCAAACACCAGCAACACCAGCAACACCAGCAACACCAGCAACACCAGCAACACCAGCGACACCAGCGACACCAGCGACACCAGCGACACCAGCGACACCAGCGACACCAGCGACACCAGCGACACCAGCGACACCAGCGACACCAGCGACACCAGCGACACCAGCAACACCAGCAACACCAGCAACACCAGCAACACCAGCAACACCAGCAAAACCAGCAAAACCAGCACAACCAGCAAAACCAGCAAAACCAGCAAAACCAGCAAAACCAGCAAAACCAGCAAAACCAGCAAAACCAGCAAAACCAGCAAACCAGCAAAACCAGCAAAACCAGCAAAACCAGCAAAACCAGCAACCAGCAACCAACAACCAACAACCAACAACCAACAACAACAACAATGTCAGCTGGCCTGACTTGAGGGCATAACACTGCTTTTGTTTGTTCTTTTGGTTTTCTCGAGGCTTTTGGCATTTCTTTTTGAACACGTGTGAGACACCTGAAAAACACAAGGGCCTGACGGGGGGGGGGGGATATTTTTTTTGTTTTATTTGGCTTTTGGTGGTTGGTCGTCCATGTTTTTGGAAACAAGTTGGGGAAAGAAGTGCGGGAGAACCACCACCAACGGCAGACCATGCTTTGTTTTTCCCTGAATTTGTGTTCAAGTGCGCTTGTGTAGTTCAATGTCCAAAGCCCATAACCCTAGCACTGTAAAGCTAGAGATGGTTTCTGGTGAATTGGAACAAAAAATAAATCAATCCTTATTTAAAAAATGCTCCCAATTTCATGAGAAAATAAGTAGAACTTAATATCCTAATTGAATTCACCAGAAAACAGAACTCAGAAGTCCCACAACCACCGGTGAATACATTGTGTTCAAACGCCTAACAGATTTGCTGAGAAATTGCTTGGAAAGGAAGTCCCCAGTATGTTTTACTATTGAAGTGAATGATAACTTTGAATTCTAGTTTAGAATAAGAAATTATGCTTGAATCTTTTCCTGATAAGTTCTAATTTTAAATGTCCAGTTAGACATTGAATATAATTTAATAAAGAGATAAGCGGAATTCTAAAAGGACAACCGTGGCACCTGTCACGGTCCGGGCAGCCATTAACTCCAAAGTGGCGCTGTGCTATGACGCTTGCGGAGCGGGCGTCGCCGGGAGGGCCCCCATCCTCACCACCACCACCACCATCACCACCACCACCACCACCACCACCACCACCAATTCATAAGGACAGAAATCAGGGGCCCCAATATTTTCTTAGTTTTAAACTAGCCCCAGCACTACTCCGTAAAAACGCAGTGTTTTGTAGCGCCTACCGGGGAACAAAGTTCTAAATCCAAGACACAATGTCAAGTAAAGGTCTGAGCTGGCATTTGCTTGTTGGATCCCATTGAAATCCGATTGAAATTCAATCGGAATTCTAGAGAGCGGCTGTCAGTGGCACATAATTTGACAAGAACACACTCCAACCACAATTTCTGTTTCATAATAATTTAGATCAAATTGCATCCGTCGAATTTCTTTACAACAACAACAACAACAACAACAGCAGCAGCAACAGCAACAGCAACACCAACACCAACACCAACACCAACACCAACACCAACACCAACACCAACACCAACACCACCAGCAACACCACCAGCAACACCAACAGCAGCACCACCAGCAACAACACCAGCAACAACACCAGCAACACCAGCAGCAACACCAGCAGCAACACCAGCAACAACACCAGCAACAACACCAGCAGCAACACCAGCAGCAACACCAGCAGCAACACCAGCAACAACACCAGCAACAACACCAGCGACAACACCAGCAACAACACCAGCAACAACACCAGCAACAACACCAGCAACAACACCAGCAAAAACACCAGCAACAACACCAGCAACAACACCAGCAACAACACCAGCAACAACACCAGCAACAACACCAGCAACAACACCAGCAGCAACACTAGCAACAACACCAGCAACACCAGCAACACCAGCAACACCAGCAACACCAGCAACACCAGCAACACCAGCAACACCAGCAACACCAGCAACACCAGCAACACCAGCGACACCAGCGACACCAGCGACACCAGCGACACCAGCGACACCAGCGACACCAGCGACACCAGCGACACCAGCGACACCAGCGACACCAGCGACACCAGCAACACCAGCAACACCAGCAACACCAGCAACACCAGCAACACCAGCAAAACCAGCAAAACCAGCAAAACCAGCACAACCAGCAAAACCAGCAAAACCAGCAAAACCAGCAAAACCAGCAAAACCAGCAAAACCAGCAAAACCAGCAAAACCAGCAAACCAGCAAAACCAGCAAAACCAGCAAAACCAGCAAAACCAGCAACCAGCAACCAACAACCAACATCCAACAACCAACAACAACAACAATGTCAGCTGGCCTGACTTGAGGGCATAACACTGCTTTTGTTTGTTCTTTTGGTTTTCTCGAGGCTTTTGGCATTTCTTTTTGGACACGTGTGAGACACCTGAAAAACACAAGGGCCTGACGGGGGGGGGGGGGGGATATTTTTTGTTTTGTTTGGCTTTTGTGGTTGTCGTCATGTTTTTGGACAAGTGTGAAAGAAGTGGCGAGAACCACCAACGGCAGACCATGCTTTGTTTTTCCCTGAGTTTGTGTTCAAGTGCGCTTGTGTAGTTCATGTCCAAGCCCTAAGCCCTAGCACGGTAAGCTAGAGATGGTTTCCTTTGATTGGATGCTTTCCTTATTTAAATGCTCCTCAATTTCAGTGAGAAATTAAGTAGAACTTAATATCCTAAGTTGAATTCACCAGAAAAGAACTCAGAGGTCCCACAACCGGTGAATACATTGTGTTCAAACGTCTACAGATTTGCTGAGAAAGTTGTCTTGGAAAGGAAGTCCAGTGTATGTTTTACATTGAAGTAGAATGATAACTTTGAATTCTAGTTTAGAATAGAAATTATGCTTGGAATCTTTCCTGAGTAAGTTCTATTTAAATTTCAGTTAGACATTGAATATAATTTAATAAAGATATTAAGCGGAATTCATAAGGACACGGTGGCACCTGTCACGGGGTCCGGGCAGCCATTAACTCCAAAGTGGCGCTTTGCTATGACGCTTGCGGAGCGGGCGTCGCCGGGAGGGTCCCCATCCTCACCACCACCACCACCACCACCACCACCACCAGCACCACCACCACCACCACCAATTCATAAGGACAGAAATCAGGGGCCCCAATTTTTTCTTAGTTTTAAACTAGCCCCAGCACTACTCCGTAAAAAAACAGTGTTTTGTAGGCCTACCGGGGAACAAAGTTCTAAATCCAAGACACAATGTCCAGTAAAGGTCTGAGCTGGCATTTGCTTGTTGGATCCCATTGAAATCCGGTTGAAATTCAATCGGAATTCTAGAGAGCGGCTGTCAGTGGCACATAATTTGACAAGAGCACACTCCAATCACAATTTCTGTTTCATAATAATTTAGATCAAATTGCATCCGTCGAATTTCTCTAGAAACAAGGTAACGCCAAACAAAATCTGTAAGCCTATGAGATCCGAATGCGTCAGACAGCTTGAAATGTACAAACATGTGCATTTTCACAGTGCCCTGGGCTCTTTCTTTTGGGGCGAGCCCAGTCAGCCACGTTTTCTGGACCAAAACCGCGGCATTGCATTTTCACGGCAGGTGCTGGAAAAGGGGAATGTCTGGCGCCTTCAAATGGAAGGGTAGCTCATCGTTTTGCTTTGTGGATCCTCGTTGTTGTCTCGCACCAGGCCTTCCTGTATCACAGTGGGGGCCATCTCCTGATTTATCCTCATTTCCTCACCAAAGAGGATCCGAATCCCAACCAATCTTGGCAATCGAGCATCAAGGTGAATCTTGTCAGAATGGTTCAAATCGATAGCTTCGGGACGGATCCGAATCGAAGCCGCCTCTCTCAGGTGGTGGACACCTTTGCGGAAACCAGGGAGCGGGATATGGTGAACAAGGCAGTGGAGATGGACCAGGCAGTCGACTTTGGTTCGGCGGGGTGCGGCGTTCTTTCGGGCTGGTTCTCGGCAAGGGATGGTTAGTAGGGGTCACCCCCTGATCATCAGAACCAGCAAGTTTCAGATGCGCGACTTCACAAGACCCTCAGCCGACAAGCGGCACCTCAGTTTTGTATACCGACCCGTTCGGAGTACTTCTAGGTCCTAGGCTTTGCCGCAGAAGTGGCAACTTATCGGCAAGTCAGCAATGCCCGGGAGACCTTGCGTAGCTTGCTTTCATTGGCGGCTGGTGAAGTGTTGCCTGACTCACGCCAAGAAACAGTTGCAATCCTTTTGAGGGGCCTTTGGCACGCTGGGCCTTCTGTGGTGTTGGCCGGATGCGCATGCACAGGATGTGAAGAGTTTCTTCTTTGTTCTGCTGGCTTTGGCCCCGAGAATGTCACGCATGGGTCTGAAATTATGAGTTTTTCGCAGCGTCACGGGCGTCACGCGCCAGGACTTGGAAGACGACCAGAGGTTCTTGCAGCGCGTTTTTGACCGGATCGACGTGAACATGGACGGCCGGCTGACTTTGGAGGAGCTGATGGAGGGCGCGCGCAAGGATCCTGAGCTGCAAAGCCGGCTGCGGGTCATGGACATTGACGAGGCGCGAGGCTGAATGAATTCGAAGGGTCCCCACACGCTCGGACAGTCGGACAGGTGTATTTTCATTGCCGGCACAGCCGCTTGATTCTTGTGTATACTTCTCCACGCAGCATTTGCAACTCCTTTATCTTAAAGACACCTCCAATGCGCGTGCTTGTGCTCCTGCATTTTGCAGCCTGAAGCACACACGTTTGTAGAGGCACTGTTTTTTGGATCTTTCTTGGTTCTTTGTGGGTTCATCCTTTTTTGGGGACCCCCAAAACGGTGGCTTTTCCTTGCCGTTTCGTTTGAAACCACAAAGAAGGGGCACACTGAAAGAAGACACACCCATATTGGTTTTTAAGCGGTCTGACGGTGTTTGCAGCCAAGGGGCTTGCGAACTCGATTCTAAACACTTGGCTTGGGAATGTCGAAGGAGGTTCCTTGGGGGGGAACCGTGTTAATTGAGGCATGTCCATACGGGGCCCGCAACAAATGGCTGGCTTTCTGTCACTTGCGGAAGAATGCCATCCCCAAGATGGCACACGCCCACGCCCATTTGTGCGCACCGCTTGGCAGTAAGTGCCGGGTTGATGGGGTTTGCAATTTTGGCCCAGCATGGGCCTTAGCCAATCTTGGATTTGGGACTGCCTTGGGCCAGGAGGGTTCGGGCCAGTTCCTGAGAGGTTCTGGGCAAACAGACCTCTTCGACTTGCCCGATTTGGGTTTACTATGTTTTCTTTAAAATCGGGGGACCCTCAAAATGGATAGTTGAAAATCAGCCCAAAAGGGTGCCCCATTCTTGATTTATTCGGTCTCTGGCTATGAACTTTTCTATGGAGGCATGCCGCAAAAGTTGGTAGAGGATCTTCCAAACGATGTCCGTTGTGAGACTCAGCCTCTCGATGCCACAGTTCGCCACAGTTTTTGGTTTTACTTCATTCCCCCTTATCGACGACAAGCTATGCTGCCCTTTTTGAAAGGGGGGGGCATTCTCTCTCCTCTTGGTTTTCCGTCTCCCTGCGCCAAAAAGTGTAAACACAAGCAAGCAAGCTAGCACGAGAGAAAAAAACAAGAGAGAGAGAGCGAGAGAGACGGAAAGCAAGCTGGAAGCAGCGCTTGCGCAGAGAAGCCGCCAATTTCCAGTCGCTCGCAGGTGGACCTGGAGCAGCTTTTCGAGATGCTGGACACTTGCCACGAGGGCAGTGTGGACACCGACACGCTGGTTACCCCGCTGAGCAGGTGAGCGAAATAACCCGCATTTGGCAAACGCCTGGCACTGGGGGATTTTGGATTTCGAGTGCGAGGGTAGGGTTTGGCGGCCTTAGCCTGGGTGTTGAAGAGGCATGATGGGCGAGGGCTCGAGTGTGCACTCGGCATTTGGGGTGGAGACGTGCGCTCGGGGATTTGCTTAGCGCAATCCCACGCCTGGGGTCGTCGCATTCTCAAGTGGACAGTGGCCCGCAGGTAGGTACCCACGGCCTAGCCGTGCTTAGCATCTTTCTCCTGTGAAAGGGTTTGCTCATTTGGGGAGCGGGGTGCTTGAAAGTTTGCTCTTGACAGGTGGGTCCATGACTCGAAGACTGCCGCGCGCTTCATCAAGTACAATGTTGCAAGGTCGCTGGGTTGCAGGGGCTGTGGGGTTGGCAGCTGGCAAGCTGGGCCTCGACAAATGCTTGGCTGGAGGGATGCGGGCCTGGCCTAGCCCCCACACTGCGCAGGTTGACATTCTGTGTATTCAGGGCAGCTGCAACCCAATCCGAAAACGCAGCCTTCCGGGCCATATTCGGCTTGTGAGCCCTCAACTTCTAGAGGGCCCCGTCCTTTTTTTCCCCAGGTTTGGTGGGCTGGGTTGTGGAACTGATAGTTTTACACATCATCCCTAACCAAACCCTATACCAACCTGGACCCACCCGAAACCAATCCTAAACCGACCCTAAACCCACATCCAACCAGCACTCAAGCATCCCTGCAAGCCTACAATACCCCCCCAAGGCCAACCAACCCCAAAAAAAACCCTGAACAAACCCTGAACCAAACCTAAACTCTATCTAAACCAACCCTATACCCATCCAAAACCCAGCCTAAACCAACCCTACAACCACCCTGAACCAGCTTTAAGCCACCTCAAAAATTCACTCCCTAAGCCAACCCTAAGCTTTAGACCAGCACTAACGCATCCCTAAACCAGCCTAAGCCTACCCTAAACCCATCCGAAACCAGCCCCACGACCCTAAACCAATCCAAGACCCCCACTAAACCCAGCCAGAACCACAACTAAATCTACTCTAAACCCACACTCCTATGGCAACCCCAAACCAACCCTAGACCAGCCCTGAACCAGCCGCCGCCGTAAACCCACCCGAAACCGACCCTAAACCACCACAAAACCAACTCAACCATCCGTAAACCAACCCTAAGCCCCTATGCCAACCCTAAGCCCCTATACCAACCCCACACCACCCGAAGCCAACTCTGAACCCACCACAAACCCACCCAAACCCAACCCTAAACGGATTCTAAACCGGCTTGAAACTAACCCCAAGGTTGGCCAACCTAAACCAACCCAAAACCCAGCCTAAAGAAACCCAAGCCCCGCCCAAACCCACCCGAAACAGCGGCTTCTTCGGAAAGGCGAGCCTTTTGCGGCTTTTCTGGGGCGGGACCGCCCCGCCGGAAAAAACAATCACGCCGAACCTAGGAGAAAAACAGTAGAAAAACCCTTCCGCCAACTTCTGGAGCAGGCAGTGCCCCCCCATGCCCAAAATAGTAGCTTTGTGCTCCAGGATGCATTTTTTTGAGCTCCTGTAGCCAGGCAACCTTTTGAATTCTTGCACTTCAACTGCAAGCCTGGCAGTTGCGCCAGCTGAGGACCATGATGCAACAGGAGGAGCTGTATGACTTCTCGAGGCGGGGGCCAATGGCTTCCACTTGCCGGTGCAAGGGTCCCAAGGGGGAGTTCCTCTAATGAGCTGTTTCCTTGACTTACGTTTGAAGCGCTCAAAAAGAAGATGCTGCAAGTGTTTGCGTGCGGGTGCAGTCGAAACCAATCCCGAAATGTGAGGGGGCCGGGAGGGTAGGCACGTTTCCATTAGATCTGGCAAAATGTTCCCCTTGAAATTTCCCCTGCAGAGTGGGGGGTCGACCTCCCTATAAACGTTTTGTTTTTTGTTTTTTGTTTTTGTTTTAAATAAATAGTGAAAGGGGGGTGACGCCTCACGTCGGGTGCACACATTTTGTAGAAAACCCATTTTGTGGAGGGATGGTCCATTTGGTCCGTTTGTGCAAGCATCATCTATCCAAAATCTGCTGGGGTCCGCTGGAGGCGTGGTCTGCCAACTCAAACTGATACGCGCGCCCCAACACACACATTCGAATACTCGGCATTTGTAGTGTGTGTGACGGGCTCTTGGCATGTTGTAGGCCAACAGTGGCCTGTTGATTCCACATAACCTCAATTTGCTCAACCCCCCTGCAAAAATGTCCAGTAGTGATATTTTCAGTTCCAAACCAGAAGGAAATAACACGTATTCTTAAGACAAATGGAAGAATAAAGAAGGGGTGCTGACAGGTGACGCCATAAAAGCCAAAACAGCTTCAACCAAGCCCAAGCTCTACACAGTAGCAAAATTGCCAAACTAGTTTTTCTACAAAATGACCCGACCAACCACAACCCCTCAGCATGGCCCGCCAAGAAACAAGACACATGCAGCCTCTAGAACATGAATGGATTTGTAGCAACTCATTTTGTAGGAAAAACACTGGGCTGTTGCTTATGCATGGATTTGTTTGCGCTTGTAGGGGTTGAGATCCAACTGGCCCTCTACAAAATGATGCTTTGAACTTAATGGTGGCTGCCGTGATGTAGATCCCTACCTGAAGCCCCTCCATTTTGTAGCGACCACTTCGCAACATCAACAAATCAGGGACCCATTTTGCAGACTTGTTTTTTGCACCCGCCGTCATTTTGTATGCGTTTTTCGCAAATCCACTGACGCATTGTACATTTGGAGGTTCGATTCCTGCTCTGTCCTGACTGGATTGGTTTGCCCGTTGCTGTTTGAGCAATTTCGTGTGTTTAGACTTGCCAGTTTCCTGGTGTGTCCCTGGACTGATTCACAAGCATCGGGAAGTTCCCAGCACCTGCGCATTAGCATATGGTTGCGACCACGGGAAAGCACCAAGCAGCAACATGCCAGTCCCAAACGACTCGGGGTTTGGCAAAAACGCATAGTGCAAGACTTGGAGCTTAGTGTTTTTGTATTCTCGGGTGCTCTTGTTAAACATATCCTTCGTTTTGTGAAGGATCCGGCGAAGAGAACCACTGGACCAAGTTCCTGACAAAAAACAACTGGTGGCATAAATGGCCTGTTCCACTCTGCGACCGAGGCAGCATTTCAACTTCCTGGCGACCAGGGTGGAATACTTGTCCCTGGTGCTTGACAAGCTGACGCTTGCTTGGTGAAGGTATGTGAAGGTTGTTCCTATCCGGTGAAACCCAGGAACTCGCAAAGCATGTGCCCACGATTTGATTTTGCTGGATTTGCTGGTTCAATCCCGGCTTCATCCAATATGTTTTTGGCTTTGTTTCATGTGCTGGCTTTTAACTCGTTTTGATTCGCGTGGGGCGGCAAAGTTAAAATCAAATGCGCTGGTTTTCTTTTACTTTGCTTGCAGTCGGTGCTTTTTTTCTTCTTCTTTTTTTCTGAGTCTGATCGGGTCGTTAGCGTCAGTTGTCCTGGTACCATGGGGTTTGTACATGTTGTGATTGATTCAAGGTTGTTATGTGATGTGTTTTGTTTTGATCAGAATGCAGTTGGGCCCGGGCTATGTGTGTTCAGGTGGCGCGCTTTGCGAGCGGGTAAGCTTTGTTTGGTTCAGTGTCATTGCTGGGTTTCTTGTGGTGCCGTCCATTGCGGCCTGCTTTCACTTCGCTTGGTTTGGTTTGCTGAAATTCAAATTGGGTGCCGACGTCTTGAGGGATCGCAGGACGCGGGCTTTGTGGAAGGAATGGTCAGCATTTGAGGGCTTCGTGGCACCGGGAATGACTCCTGCTTTTTGGGCGACCACTGCATACAGGAAGTTCATGGAAGTTCATGGAAGTTCAGGCAGTCACAATTGTTTGTTTGCAGGAGCGCTGGCTGCGTCACCCCCTCGGCTCACTGTCGCTAGGACAACCCAGCCACCTGCAGCACCAGCTCAAGATGCACAGCTGGAGATGACTCCAATGATGACGGCAACGGATTCTGCGGTTGAGACGCCCCGCCCATCAACGAGACTCGGAGATGATTGGAGTCTTTCCGGAGCCGGCTGTCAAACTCGCCTGGCATTCCACAGCGCTTGGCGTGCTTTGGGTCAATCACTTAGTCTTTTCATTGGACCTGAGACTCAAGAAGGGCAAAGAAGACATAGCAAGACAATCTTTTTTCCATGTGGCTGCGTCGGATTCACCAAGCCGCCACAGCCGGCCCGTGAAGTTTTTAGCCTATGGATCCTCCTTGCAACGGGCCACAGTTTTGTTGATTTTGGGGGCTGTCGCAGTTTCGCAGACACAGTCACAGATCCGCAGATTTGTGAGGATTCCTTGGGTTTCAGTTCTGGTGGAGGCTCGGCCGGCCTTGCGTGGGACTTGAGCGTTGCGAGACGTTGCAAGTCATTTTGCGGCGTAGGAAGAACCTTAAAAACCGTCCTTGCCGTACTTTGTGTTTCACAAACACGGGTCATCCCAGTGTTTTCTATTGTTGTTTGTTTCTCCCCTTTTTTCTTGGCTCTTTCTTGAATCAATTTACAAGTGCCCCTCCGTTTTCAGGGCGTGCCTATTCTGTTTCCGTTCCGTTCCCATGAGTCAACACATCGCATTCTGTTCTATGCGATGTTCCAAGGCGAGTTGTGCCCAACCCGCTAGATGAGGTTTGGATTCTAAACTCAATGCGCAGCCGAGCATGCCAATGACCGAATAGCGGCTCATCGCTCGTGTGATGGATCCCTTTGGAAGAGAGTTCAGCAGACAGGAGTTTGTGGACGGAAGTCCCGGCAAGCGAGTGACACGGCACATGAAAAAGCTGCTAAATAGTTGTCCAATCGTCGGGATTTTCATCTCGGTGCCATCAAGAGCGGTACAATTGGGGGAAAGTAAGATGGGGCGACCCCCAGATTTTGATTTAGCTATCCCCTTCCTTACCAACATCGCGGGATTGTGCTTGTGGGGCCTGACGCCTGGGGGCGTCGCCCGAGCAAGAGGTTTCCGGGCGTGCAGATCATGACAGTTTTCATGCAGTCTTTTCCATGTTTCCCGCTTTTCTTTGCATATGTCCTGTGTGGCGATAGAACGTCGCATGCTCATCACAACGCATTCGCGCCAGAGACGTGCGGCATGTCCATCATGTGCTCATTCCAACGTATGGCGAGGATTGTGTTCTGGAGAAGGCTCTTTCGGCCAGGAGGCTCAGGCGGTGGCTTTGAAGGCCAAGGAGGAGACTGCGGCGGTGGCCCTGCGCGCGGCTATAGACAACCTGGAGGACCAAACCCTGGAGGGCCGAGAGGAGTTTCATTCCTGGAAAACATGGCGAACAACTCCGCGTGTGAGACAAGGGAAGGGCACCCCAGACAGTGAAAAGCAGGGTGTTTTGGATGGCTTACCCTTGGCTTTGAAATGTGGCCACCGTTTCGAGGACTGGGTGCGGCAGACTTCCAGCCCGCCCGGCGAAGAAAGCAACATACATCACACAGATCGCGCAGCTTGGCTGGCGCAGGCTCGGCTGGTTCTGTCTCAACATGGCGCACCCCTTCCTAATGAACGACCGCTTTTTCCGAAACGTGGGCGGAGGTTCGTATTCCGAAGGTGGTGATGCTGTCCTCGTGAAACTAATATAGGTTCCAGGCCTCACGTCGTCCCATAAAAGATGGGTCCTTGCCAGTCCTTGCGGGCCCCCAGGTTAGAAGGCATTGATTGGTGGCATTGGAGCCGAGGACCCTCTGCGGATGTCCCTGATCCTGGTGGAGAATGCTTTGCAGGCGTGTCGGGTTTTAGCTTTGGAAGTGTTTGCACGTGTGCCTTTGCTATATAGTGAGCCCTCGGGAGGGGGGTTGAAGAAACAGGCATCCCTTATGTAGTGATTCGGGCTGTTTGTGTGAGATCCAATGCTGCTGCTGCTGCTGCTGCTGCTGCTGCTGCTGCTGCTGCTGCTGTTCTTGGATGGAAATGTTATGCCCACTTCGACTTGCTGCACTTCACGAATTCCTTGTTCATGTACTGCAATTGCCTTTTCACCTCAGGTAAGATGACCCAGGGATGACCAAGCAAGAATTGTGGCAGCTGTGGGGCGCACGCAAGCTATGCAATTGTGACGATGACCTGGGCGGGGTTTGTCCTTTAGCAAGCCGTGGAATGGATCCAAAGAACATCGCACGTTTGGGACCCACTTGGGTTCCTTAGTTCAAGGCGGTTTGAGCCAACCATGTTTGGAACAGAATCTGAAACGGAAAGGGTTTTCCATTGCCGGAAAGGATCAATTGAAGACGCAGAAGCCGGACGATGGCCGCTGCCTTGCAGAGCGCGCTCGTTTGCGAGGACAGGCTTGGAGATTGGAATGGGTCTTGGGCAAGAAAGATGGCATGGGTTCAGCACACGGCTATGGGACCAACAGACACCATCAAGGCCGAATCGGGGCCCGTCTTTCAGGTTAGCTATGCTTCGCAGAAAGCATGCCGCCAAGACTCTGCCACCACCAGATGCGAATGTTATGCGCCGTTTCTCCTTCCAGGAGCTTCAAGGAAGAATACCAGCCAACAAATGCCTACACAAGGTATGAGAGAGAAAGAACAATGATTCTCCATCTTGTTAGCGCTAAGTTGTACAATTGCTTCAGAAATGATCTTTAGTTACTCTCCGGAGGCCGGCTTTGTCTCCCTAGAAAAAAGCCAGGCAAACTTTTTCCAGCTGTTAGTGCCAGGGAGGTTTTTTGTCTCAAGAGGGGACTCAGGCACTGTTACATGCTTATGCCAGTGCGGTGTGAAGCGACCCCTGATGGGGGATGCGAAATCGACCGAGCAAAGAAAAAGCGTGCAGCCATCAGTTTGGGGAGTGGGAGCACTACAGACGCAGGGCGTAGCGACCTCACCGAGAGATTTTTCGACCTCACCCGTAATGAAAGTGCCTTTGATTTCAAGTTGGTGAAGTATTAATTTTAAAACGCATTCAAGACACACCATTTGATTCTCTGCTTTCGTGGTGAGAAGCCGCATGGCCCAGGTCTTTGCCAAGCGCGCGCCCCCAAGCGCACCAGGCGAGAGTTGGGGCCAAAGGACTTTCCAAGCGAGGTGTGAGGTCTGTCAATGTTAAAACCTCCTGTTGCTTTTCCTAGGGGGCCAGCGACTGGCTGCTAAAGCAACATTTGCCAAACCCCGCATCTAACCAACAAAACGAACAAGCGGTTGTAAAAGGTGCCCCAGCACACAAGGGATAGCAAACGTTGGTTGTGACTGCGGGATTCTATCAGACAGGTGGTTTCGGGCTAAACATGATCAAGTCCATGTCTCAAGAGCAGATGATGGCTGATTCCGGGACCAAATCCTGCCTTGGAGAGGGGCCAGACGCCATTTGCCACTGGATGCAGGTAGCCAGGGCAGCCCTGCTGGCTTTGCCGCCGCCCCAGCAGTGAAAAAAATGCTGAGCTTCCTCCCTTTGCTGCGGCGTGTTGTTGAGCCTGTGGGTTGCCATAAAAGAGGCTTTTCGGTGAAGCTTTTTCCCGAAAGCATGGCGAAGGGTTCTTCCGCTGGGTTCACTTGAATTGTTCTCATGAGAGTCATTACAAGGTGTCATTGCAAGGAATCATCATCATGAAAGTCAATGCAAGGAGTCATTGCAAGGAGTCATTGCAAGGAGTCATTGCAAGGAGTCATTGAGTCATTGCAAGGAGTCATTGCAAGGAGTCATTGCAAGGAGTCATTGCAAGGAGTCATTGCAAGGAGTCATTGCAAGGAGTCATTGCAAGGATTGCAACTTGCACTTGACTCCTTGCACTTGCAACTTGCACTTGACTCCTTGCACTTGCAACTTGACTCCATGCACTTGCAACTTGCACTTGACTCCATGCACTTGGCTCCTTGCACTTGGCTCCTTGCACTTGGCTCCTTGCACTTGCAACTTGCACTTAACTCCGTGCACTTGCGACTTGCACTTGACTCCATGCACTTGGCTCCTTGCAACTTGCAATGGCTCTCATGACTCCTTGCAATGACTCCTTGCAATGACTCCTTGCAATGACTCCTTGCAATGACTCCTTGCAATGACTCTTGCAATGACTCCTTGCCATGACTCCTTGCAATGACTCCTTGCAATGACTCCTTGCAATGACTCCTTGCAATGACTCCTTGAAACAAGCAAGGAGTCAAGTGCAAGTTGCAAGTGCAAGGAGTCAAGTGCAATTGACTTGCGAGGAGTTAAAATCTCTTCTTAGGGCGGCGGGGTAGTGCCGACGACACTACACGAAAATCGACCCTCTGCGGGGATCGGCGTGGTCGAGGTGCAAAAACCCATGGTTTTTTGCGATTTCTAACCTGCTCGCGCGACCCTCTGCGGGGATCGGCGTGGTCGAGGTGCAAAAACCCATGGTTTTTTGCGATTTCTGCGGTGCTCGCGCGACCCTCTGCGGGGATCGGCGTGGTCGAGGTGCAAAAACCATGGTTTTTTGCGATTTCTGCGGTGCTCGCGCGACCCTCTGCGGGGATCGGCGTGGTCGAGGTGCAAAAACCCATGGTTTTTTGCGATTTCTAACCTGCTCGCGCGACCCTCTGCGGGGATCGGCGTGGTCGAGGTGCAAAAACCCATGGTTTTTTGCGATTTCTGCGGTGCTCGCGCAACCCTCTGCGGGAATCGGCGTGGTCGAGGTGCAAAAAATCAAGGTTTTTTGTTCGAACTGGTCCTCGGGAGTTGTCTCGTGGTTCGCGCGCCTGCTCCCGGAACCGGCGGGTCGCGGGTTCGATTCCTCCCTGGTCCGCGGGCGGGCGTCGCAAGATGCAACTTGCATTTTACAGCAACTTGCGCAGAGCAACTTGCGCAGAGCAAGTTGCACAGAGCAACTTGCGCAGACCAACTTGCACCGACCAGTTTGCGCAGAGCGCCTTGCCTAGAGCAACTTGCGCAGAGCAACTTACGCAGAGCAACTTGCACAGAGCAACTTGCACAGAGCAGCTTGCACAGAGCAACTTGCAGGGAGCGCAATTTGCACAGAGCAACTTGCAGGGAACTTGCAGGGACCAACTTGCCGGAGCAACTTGCGCGGAGCAACTTGCGCAGAGCAACTTGCACAGTGCAACTTGCGTAGAGCAACTTGCGCAGACCAACTTGCACCGACCAGTTTGCGCAGAGCACCTTGCCTGGTGCTGTCTCGCGCTTGCTTCACGAAGTGTAGGGAAAAAGAACGCATCCTGCAGCGTTGGGCCGACCTCGCTTGCGATGTTCTGCTTTCGGGCCAAGCGTGGTCTAGTTTTTTGTAAGTCAAGGGTGTGGCTGTGCATTGAACACAGTTGGGTGGTTGGGATGGCGGATGGTCGGGGAAGCTAGGACTTTCAGAATGGTTGGAATGGTCAGGTTGGTTTGGATAGTCGGGATGGTTGGAGAGATCAGGATGATTGTGACGGTCAAATGGTCAGGATGGTCGGGACGGTTGTGGGAGTGTGGGAGCTGGGCTTGCCGGCGAATGAATGGCCGTTGCCGAAAAAGACACTGGGCGGCGTCGTTTCTCAACACATCCGATGTTGTTTCCCGACGTGCATTTTGAATTTGCCGCTTGAAGCGGTCCTGGATGTTTCCGATTCTCCGAACGGCCGGTACCCCTCATCTCCCTCACGCCGAGGCCCCTGAGCCGCAGCCACAGTCTTGGGCATGCCAACAGGAAAGCCGACAGTTGTTGACAATGCGAAGCTCTTAAGGATTAGTGACTTGTTGTTTGAGTGAGGTAGACCACCTATGCAAAAAGTCTTGGGGAAGGTGTGCATATTTTCTGGCAGATGGACAATGAAGTGTGCAAGGATCGGATTTGGGGCAAGCTCGGGCAAGCACATGTGGGCAGAACTTTTTCTCATACGTTAGCGCCAGATCTTTGCATTGCTTCACCCGCACCCTCAAGTAGATGTTACGAGAGCCACTGACGTTGATGGTTTGATAGCTTTGGCGTGAGTCTTCTCACGAGGGAAGCCGTGCTTGAGTTGCACGCCAGTCCTGGGAAAGTTGCTCAGCAAGCTTGCCTGGGTGCGACGAGTTCCAGGACTCCCCTTCCCTTTGCTGAGGCCGCCGCAGCCGCAGGCAGGACTCGTACAGTTTTGCAGAGACTCGTTGTTTCCAAGCAGGACTTTTCACCACCCCGGAATGTGCCGCGTGGGTGGGGGGCGGAGAAATCGGCACAGCTTGAGGCCCCGGCAGAAGCGCTCGGCCCTTGGTGGCTTAGACCCTCCTTTCCGCGGTCGGGACGTGGATTGGTTTTTTGGTGCGGCTCCATGCTCAACCTGGGTCTGCTTTAATCCTTGACCTTAGCACTCCTTCACAACCTCGCATTGGGAAACAAGGGTAGGCAAACTTCCGAGCCAGATCAGCAATTGGTGCCGTAACGTTGTGGTGGGCAAACCTCCAGATCGGCTTCAAAAGCCCCGAGGACGTACTGGCCTTCCGAGGCCTATGCCATGGCGGCCCTCATGGCTCACGGATGAGGAGGGAACGTTCGCCTGTAGAAATGGGCTCAGCGCAGGCCACACCAATAGGCCTCCCATGAGGAATAATTTGGGCAGTTTGGATTTGTCTGAAAATTAGTGGAACCTCAAACTGGACGTGTTCCCTTTGGTGCCCCTTTCAACCAACATCAAAAGGTACCTCAAAACAAAACCTGTTTGAAGAAATGACTGTGGGAGCTACATGTACATATATATATATATATATATATATTTGTACACATTTATGGTAGCACTCCGCAATAAGGATTTTCTACCGCGCACCGCAACGCCACGGCCGTGGTGGACCGGGGCATCCAGACGCTGAAGAAGGACCTGGCCACGCGCGTGGAGCGGGCGGCCGGGGCCTACAACGCCCGGCCGCACGAGACGGTGTACGGCGTGCCCGAGGATGTGGAGAAGCAGCCGGCCACCGAGTTCCGGCTGCTGCAGGACAACGCCGACAAGTTCCAGCACAACAAGGACCTCACCGACCGGCGCGTGAAGGCCGTGGAGGAGGCGGGCGCCTTCCGAGCGCCGACGAACGCTGCGAGGAGCTTCAACCCTCAGTACGGCGACGTGCAGCAGCTGCGGGCCGTGGACTCCATGACCGTCCGCAGCACGGAGGGCCGGGAGACCCTGCTGAAGCTGGCGCTGCCGGCGCCGCAGGGCAGCGGCAGCGCGGCGGGCCGACTGACGAGACGGGGCATCCCTTGAAGTTTCAATTGAAACACCTGAAATCTAGAATCGGAGATCTGAATCCTTGAAACGTCCAATGTTGGGCCCCCGAAGCCTCCGAATTCGGAGGCCATTGTTTCTCTGAAAGGTCTTTCCATAAATGGATTTTGCTTCAAACTGAACTAGCATGTTGAATCGAGTTTAGCAAACACAAAGCTCACCAGAGTTTCTATATTCGATAAGGATTTCCTTTCCAAATAGGAGTTAAAGGAGGAACCGATTGGTCCTTCAACATATTTTGAAATAGGAATTCTTTGTTAATGTTGGAACGCATGTGCAAACATGACATGTGTCTGCAATGCTTGGCCATAATGGCTCTGCCATTTTGGCTCAAGCATTCAATTTGATCTTTGATCTCTTTGAAAAATAGCAAAGCCTTCTCATCCCCCCTTTTGTTGCAATGGCATCCAGCATCAGCTCGGTTTCCTCCATGGAAGTGTTGGAGGAACAGCAGGTGACGGAGGAAGACATCTTGCTCGCAGACGCGGAGGCCGAAGCCCGCCGCTCCAAGGATGCAGCCGTCCGTGCCGGGCTTTGTCTTCTCTCCAAGGACGTCCCCGAGGATGTGGACCTAGGGGTCGCCATGCAGGACCTTGCCAAGGGCTCGCTATGTCGGCTCGGCCGGGGGGGGGCCTCCGACTATGTCCGGATGTGCAAGGCCTGTGGTTCTGGTTGGCCGGCGCAGGCCACCTCCTGTTGGCTAAGGAGTCGGCCCCCTTCGAACGCCCGTCGGCCACCTACGAGGTCAAGGATTTGAAGTGGCACTTGACCATCCTCGACGGCAAGCCGGTGTGGAGGAGCCCTGGCGCCTCGGGCCCTCCCCCCCCAGCGGCGAGTCTCTTGGTGAGAAGCAGGGGGTGGACGTGACTGGTCTGGGTCGGGCACCGTTGCGGTCCTCGGGGGAGCAGGAGGTGACCATGGCCGATGCAGTGTCTGCCAGGCACAGGGTGAATCCGCGAGGAGATCCTCATGGTGGAAGCTGATGATGAAGCCATGGCCGTCAGGGAGCAGAGGGGCCAGCCGATCAAGGTCCAGCGCACACTGCAGGAGGAAAAGGACCAGTCCTTTGCGGTCTACCACCCACAGATCACAGCGGCGCAGGCGGCCCTGTTCCAGCAACTCGAGAGGAAGCGGTCCCTACAGCGGAGGAGGCCCAGGAGCGGAAGCGCCGGAAAGAGTCAGCTTCCTTCCCCACCGTCTATGGGAAGTTGGTGGGGTCCCTGCCCCAGTCGTCCTTCGTGCAGGTTAAGGTCAATGGAAGCGGTGCCCCGCGATGTGGCGGGCAAGCTGTATGCCAAGCTGGGGTACTCGGACGAGGCCATCACCGGCCTTGGCTGCAGCCCCCCCACTGGTGCCTCGGGCCCTGGGGAGGCCGCGGCAGCGGGCACGAACCCCCAGGACAAGCTTCTGGCCAGCAATGATACTGGCCTTCGGAATGTGGAGCAGGGCACGAGGCGCTACCCGCCCATCACCACGGCCAACGTCACAGCGATTGCGGGCAAGGACTACAAGAAGAGGCACTTCCCCAAGGAGTCGCCCCATGTGTTCTGGGCCAGGGCCAAGTGCGGCTTAAGGAGTAACCACCGGGGGCTACATGTGCCGCTGCGGGGGTTCTGGAGGGCTGGAAAGGGGGGCACGCGCATGCTCCAGTTCGTGGGCCACCACAAGACTCAGGCGGTGGTGCTCCAGCTGGCGGTGGATGCCCCCGGGTTCTCTTTATGTTCGGGACTTGGAGCTCCTGGATGGCGAGGCCTCGCGCCTGCGGTTCAGCTCGTCCAATAATGGCTTGGGGCATGTCTCGGACGCCATCTGGCAGGTGATCCTCCGAGAAGGCGGGGCTCCAGAAAATGGCCAGCAGGCCATCCAGATCTTCCTTCCCTTTTGGTCTCCTGGTGGGCCCTTAGATCGTGGTGCCTTGGGCCCTGATCGTGGGGAGCCCGCGGCGGTGGAGTGCGCGCAGCAATAGCCAGGATATCCGCAAGCTTGTTTTTGGCAGTGGCGTGTGTACTGCGCCCATGCCCCATGTGTAGGCCTGACGGCTCGACGCGGCCAGCACGGCGCCACCCTGTGGGTTGGGGTTTTTTCCTCCCCCCCCCTTTTTCTGATGATGGTGGTTCTAAGGGCCGGTGGATCTTTGGACTGACTGCGACATGCGGAATCGATCTCGACGAATTGAGAGAGCAGTGCATGTACCGTGCGCATTGATTCTGACTGGGTGGGGGCGTGTGGTTTGGGGTCTCGCACTTGGGGTCCCCCTCTTTCGGGCCCCCCCCTGTTCAGGGAAAGGCCAGTCCCGTGGCCTTATACACCATTTTCGTAGCTTCGCTCGCCACGCGGGCCGCAGAACAAGCGTTTTGTCTTGCGGCCCCCGTTTACGAGGGCCTGGGACAGGACACCTCGGTTTTTGTGGGATACCCTCGTAGATGAGGGGTTCTCGCCGCGCCAAACGGATGGAGAGCTGCTGATCCTGATGTGCCTGAAGGTCTCCAGAGAAGGAGACAGGGGCGGTGAACCGGCTATCCGCTTTGTCCCTCACCTAACCCTTCTGCCAGGGGTTGGGGATCAGTTTGCCGTCCCCACGGACTACTTCCAAGGCTGGTGGCCTCAGCGCTGGGCAGGCTACCTCAGCCAGCGTGGTCTGGGACAAGCTCTGGAGCCTGCTGCTTTCGGCCTTGCCTCCATGTGCTACACGGACTATGAGAACATGATGGACGCTCGTGATCAGATGCGGTGGTACCAGAGACAGCATCCGCCGCCGCTCCTGCAGCCGGAGTACCTCAAGTGGAGGCACTTCCAAGGTTTTCGGGCTGCTGAATGTGGACGAGCTCGGTGCCTCGGGCCCGGTACTCGTACTGCTCCGGGCCGAAGCCCTCATGAAGCCCTGGACGCCCTCATTCTGGGCTTTGCCAGATTCCAGGTAGGATGCAGCGCCCGCTTCAATGACTTGCAGCATGTCCACCCCAGGGACATTGCCCACACCAGCAGCACGGTGGAACTCAAGGCATGGCAGACAAAGACGGTGTCCGCTGCTAAGATCAACCGGCAGCCCGTGCCGCTCATTGCCCCGAAGTTCGCTTTCTCAGGCATTTTCTGGTGGACGCTCACCCAGGAGGAAAAATTTCAGGACATGGATTACCCTCCACAAGCGCTCTTGGTTGCCAAACAGATTCCCTGGACCATCCGGGAGGTCAGGGTACGTGTCTATTGAGGACTTGGCGGGTGGAACTCCCCGGAGGATGCTCGGCAACATGGGCCCCGAGACTTGGAGTTCAGGGACGGCGAGAACGGGCTCAATGAGGCCACATCGGCCTTCGCAGCGATGCGCCTGCTCCAAACGGTGCGCAGATTATCCAGGGGGTCACAAGAGCGGGGCGGGTGGATCGCCCGGCGCCGAGGGGGGCAGTCAAGGCTTCTATGGACGTGCACGGGGGCAGGGCAGTGAGGCGCTGCTGAAGCGCCAGTGGAGGTTCATCTCCAAGGAGGAGGCGATCGACATCAGGAGGAAGGGTGGTCGCTTGGGGCACGACATGCTGGCGGCAACTGGCCGCACATGGAGCATTCTCCGATGGTTTCCCAAACGCCCTCAGAGGGGCAGAGGAGAATCTACCCTCTGGAGACTTCCAGGCCTCTCGGAGACGGACATCCAGGCTGTGGACAACGACAGCATCCTCATGCTCAGACAGATGTACCTTACATCTCTTGCCTACAAGGGCCTGGCTGCTCACACAACAAGGATCATCGTTCCTGGAGCACCTACAGGACCCATCAGAGTGCACCAGCAGTCCCAATGCATCACGGTGCTCCTCAATTTGGGTCACACGGGCCTACATCATGTGGTCCAACTCACTACGCCACCAGGGTCAAGTTCGACCAGCCACCTTGTTCTACAGATCTCCCACTTGGTCATTGGCAGGAGTGGCGGTGCAACCACAAGCGGCACCTGACCAGGGAGAACATCAGCTCCAGCGACCTGAGCCGCTACCCAGAGGAGATGCAGGGCCTGGCGGCGGCCATAGTAGTCCGGGTAGCCCCAGCCTTAGAATCCATGATATACCCGACTACCACAACCCGGTCCCCCCAGACGCCACACCGCAAAAGAAGCGAAGGACCAAGGAGACGGCAAAGTCATGGCGGGCCTCACGGCGGGAACTAAGGCCCTCCCTGTCGGACCAACCTTCGATTCTGCCCATCACGCGCGATCCGTCGATCCAAGATGCCTTTTCGAAAAAGCATTGTGACAGCTTGCATACACATTCTCAAAACATTCAGATTAAATGTGGCTAAAGAAGCAATGCTATGGTTTTCAATTACGAAACCAGTTAAAGCAGAACTTAAATTGTAAATTTGAGCGTATGAACTTCTGTACAAACGTGAATTTAGAGAAACTTCACTCAGAATGTAATTTCAAATGCTAATAAGGACAGAGTTCAACCATAATGTCTATTTAGAGTTTGTATTCCTTTCGAAATGGGATTTGCATCTCTATTACTGTTGTTTACAGGATGAACCTTGTGTGGTTGGGAGTTTCTGTTTTCTGGGCCTGTGCAGGCTTCAGAGCTTTCATCTTCAGGATGTTCTGTTTTTCTGCTTGTGCAGGTGCGAGAGCTTGCAAAAAACATCATGCGTACTCAAAACCATTGTGAAACGAACGTTTTCAAACTGAAAGCGACAGTTTTTTTTGCGACTTGTTGCCTTTCAATGCTCAAGAGTAGAAGGTAAACAATCATGTATTTTGCAGTGTTTTCAGACATGTGGCATATGGTAGGACCCCCCTCGTCGACATTTTTTTTGGTAAGAAGTTTGTTATTGCAATGTTTCTTGAGCAAGACGTTTGTTGCCGCACGTGTTTTATGGGTGATATCCTTTGGTTGCACATTGTCATGTTGAATAGCAGCAGCAATGAGTTTCTAAACTTCCAGTTGGTTGCTGCAAGCCACCTTCGCGTCTGGCCCTGCAAAGCATTCATCATCTGCCCCACAGTTCACGTAAAGCAAACACCTTGGTATTGGGAGGGAATCTCAGCATATTTACTGTATGCATCGGTCCATGCTGTGGATGTTGCCAGCCCTAACGAAGCAAAGCCAGCGCTACGATGTGCGAGGAAGCGGCGATGCTGTGCCAGCCTGGCGCGGCGGAGGCGCTCGAGGCGAGTTGGCAGTTTTTGTTTTTGTTTTTTTTTGTGGCGGGGGCGGGGGGGACCGGGAGGCGGTTCCTTGAAGGAAAACATGGGAACACTATCGCCTCGGCTCGCAAAAAGGCTGCTGTATCCCTTTAATCCCCATTCGCCATAGGCAACACCCGGAGACAGCGCTTGAAAGTAGTTGAACATGGTGAACATGGGAACATGCGTGTCGAGGTCTTTGGGTGGGGATTCGCACCTTGCTTGCGAGGCGCAGGCCAGGGGGATGGCTGAGAGCAGCGCGGCAGCTGCCCAGGCGGGAAGCCAGTCACAGTCTCTCCGAAATTGTGGGGAGGGGCGCGCTCGGCCTTGGAATCGAAGGAACGAGCCGTTTCATGTTTCCCTTTGCAGGCTTCGAGGTTCTGATCGGTTTGGCTGAATTCTGCATGGGCGGGCGGGGCGACGCGGATCTGTGTGCCGGACATCATGAGGGCGTGCAAGAATGCATGAGTGTGGCACGTGCCAGGAGTTCAATGACACCTGGCAGGACGCCGGAGGGCACCTGCTTTGGCGCTGGATTGTGGTCATTCCATGTCAGCATCAGTATGGGAGCTCGGGTTCGGCGCAGGAAGCTGGCGACTGGCCCGAGGTCCACTGCCGGGTTCGGGTGATTGCAGTCAGCTGTGGGGGGAGTGTGTTCGACCTGATGTGTTCAAGCGGTATTTGAAGCATTTTGAAGCCAAGCTGAGGGCATGATCTCACGCAATGTCTCGCTTGGCCAGTGGCTCCAGCTGGACCATCGTTTCGTTGTACTTCGCCAGCTTTCACTAGGGCCTTGCAAAATCATTGCTGAAAGGGTGGCACATGGCACACTTCCGTTGGCTTGTTTGCAGCATGGTCCATGTATGGGCAGGTCACTTTGCGCAAGGGCATGGGTTTTTGTTGGACTTCCTGCGAATTCCTGCGGAGTTCTTTCCCGGCGAGGCCCAGGCGCCTGGTCCTTGGCTTGGCGGCTCAGAGGTGGGCCAGGGCATGATGACTGACCACGAATTCACTTCAGTGTGTTGGTTTGCTTGAATGGTTGTTTTCTTGTTTTGTGCCGAATCTCTCTGTGTGTGTATTTTTCTGTTGCAGTAAGCGCTGGTACTAGTACCAGCCGGCGTCAAGTCAAAATGCAGGACCAGCCTTGGGCTCGACCCTCCTGGGAGGTGCGGACGAATCGAGCCGACGACCCGGACTATTTTGGCCCATGCCTGCCAACGTTGGGGGCACGGGCCGCTGCAACGCATGCTGATTTGAAACGGACAGCAAATGCCTGGTTTCCTTGGAACCGCGGAGGCTCCGGCACAGGAGGCACCTCACTTCGTGCCGAAGGCCAGGCACGGAGATGTTCAGTGAGTCGCAGAAGCCCCATGTTTGCTGCGGGTTGTCTCAAAACAGGAACGGCCCATTCGGTGTTCTGACCTTGGGTTTCCTGAAAGCACACCCCCACCTTTCAAACATCCGCTGAGAGCACCCTCGAACTTTCCGGGGCCTCAGCACTCCAAATTTCCATGTAACGCCAGGAGGTCCACATGGAAGCACCGGCGCCGCGAGGCGGCTCTTCGTTTTCGTTTCTTTCTTTTAAAAGCGTTTGTTTTCTCCTTTTCCAGGCTTGCAGTTGGTTTTGCTTCAAGTTCAGTGCCTCAACATCACTTCCATGTTTCATTTCCCCTTTTGAGGAATGGCGGTTGTGGGTAACGAACTTGCCAGCCTCTTTTTCGCCAATGGTTTGGCCTTCTGCTTCCAGGCATGGTGGCCGGCGCCCGAGCATGTTCCAAAGGCAGCCATCAAGCTAAAACGCGTGCGTGTGATTGGTTGGCCCAGTGTCCCCGACATTTGACGGCCACTTTCCCAGCTTCATAATCAAAAGTCTTATATAGACTTTCATCCCGAGATCATTTGGATGAGTCAGAGTTGAATGGCTGAAGTGCAAACTCTTACTGAGGATGATGCTGCAAGACTAGGCCCGCATGCAGCTTGAAGCCCTTGCTGCTCACTTGCGGGAACTGCGTCGCCAGGTTCTCACCCTCTGCCGGCCGGGTTTCTGAGCCATGGCGGCATTGTGAGAGACGCGCATCAGACACCCTGCCAGCGGCAAGGGGCCAGGGGCAAGCGGGCGGCGGTGGGAAAACTGAGGACGGGCAATGCTCCCGCTGGCTTGGTCCCTGGGGCGCAGGGCAAAGGCACGGTCGAGTTGGCACTGCGGGGGCATCACTGCCCGTTTGGGACGGGCTACGTAGCATCCAATCCTTCACTTTGCCAGCAGCCAAAGGCAAACGGGACAACCAGCCACTTTCTGTATGCATCATGAGCTTGAATCCCCGGCTGTTTGGAATCGATGTTCAGCTCAAAGAGCCGCTGGATGGCGAAACAATTTGGCAAGAAGGTGGGACGCTTGCCAGTTCGAGGAGTCCCAGGGACAGAGCCCGTTTGAGCATTGCAGGCCCCAAGCGCGGCAGCCTGCCGATACCGGCGAACATGCGCCTGCCCGAGGAGGTGGCAGCCAGCCAGGCGGAAGCAGCCCACGGCGTTGCCGCGCCTGAAGCGGCCGAACCGGCAGAAGCGACCGGATCCCGGCGGCTGACTTTGGGGTCACTTGGAGGGACGGGTGTGACGAGGAAGTTGGGCCACTTGGTTTTGGGTTCCGTACTGGCAGGCCTGTTAGAAAAGGCAATGGAATCTGGGTTGGTGCAGCAGGTTTTGCTTGGAGCTCGCCGTTCGCAGAAAACCTCTGCATGTTCCTTGGGGACCAGCTCCGACGCACAGTCTGAGGCCTTTTGCAGGGCTCGTGCAGCCACGGATCCGCCCCAAAGCAGGGCAGGCCAGGTAAAGAAGGAAGCTGAAGGGAGGGAGGGAGGGAGTGAGGGAGGGAGGGGCATGGAGGCAAGTAGGAATGCGTCAAAGGTGTTGGCAAGTCAAGGAAAGCTTGACCAGCGTGGAGGCCCATTGGGCTCAGAGTGCCCTGAACAATAGCATGCTGCATTGGCAGCTGCGGGTGGCTTTCAGGCGTTAGCACCGCGAGTAAGTTTCCCCTGCAGGACTGTCCGCCAGGCACTGTTTCACAGGAAGGAGGTACAGGATTTGTGCAATCGAGCTCAAATCGGCAAATCAAATCATGTTGAAACTTGTAAGTGGATGGGCCCGACCCTGCCTGACAGAGGAACTCTCCTCTGAAGTCCAAGCACGGTTTGCCAGTGGACACCGGGAACGAAGCACGTTTGAAGCGCCAGTTTATTTGTGTACAAATGTGGCACTGGGCGGGAGTCGTAGCTTTGTAAAATGTCTTTCTGCTCGAAACGTTTTGCCCGCGCTCAGCACAGCTGCCCCATGTACTGTGCCCAGTCCGTCGATTGAACATACCTGCTAAGAAGGGGAGTCCCCTCTTTGCTTCTCACGCACGGCCAGGCCTTTCCGGGCTCCGTGCCGGCGCCCTTCCCAGCAGGCCTGATTTTCCATGGTGTGGGGGGGGGGGGCAGCCTGGCCCTTTAGCACGACAATATGCAAATTGCAAGGCTGGCAGAGTTGAAACTGTTGCCCTTTGAGAGGAAGGTGCTGGAAGGACGGGCTTGTTTTGTTTTTGGTTTGGGGTCTTGGGGGGGGCAGAAACGGGAAACATTTGTCGAACATTTTGTCGCGCTTCTTTCAAGAGCGACTTTGTCAGCAATTTCTACTAACTCCAGGCAAGAAGTTTTGCCTTCTAAGCTTGTTTCATTCCCCGATAGCTGAAAGCTTTTGGGGTTCTAACTTCTAACAATTCCACAGATAGCTGAAAGCTATAGGGGTTCTAATTTCTGACAAATATGGGAAGTGATTTGCGAGAGTTATTCGGGGGGGTGCTATAAGGGCGTGAGGTTTGGGGTGCCGGTGAAGGTGTTGCTGTTTTGGGATGCTGTTTGGGGTGCTGGTGCGGCGTTTTCGCGAGAATGATGCTTTGGGGGTGCTGTTTGGGGTGCCCGCGCAGGTGCATTTTTGCGAGATTGACGGCAGGGTGTAAGGGGGGCATGCAGTTTGGGATGCTGTTAAATGTGCTGTGTCGGCACGGCCAAGTGCTGTCCCGGGGAGTGCTGTTGGAGGTGCTCGAGCACAATCGTCGGCATGCTTTTAGCTAATTGGGGTCTAGGCTGGTGTACTTGGGTTCTAACTTCTAATAAAGAGGGAAAAAGTGGTTTGCGAGAATGACAGGCTGGTGCTAGGGAGCGTGCAGTTTGGGGTGCTGGTGTAGGCGCTGTTTGGGGCGCTGTTTGGGGCGCTGTTTGGGGCGCTGTTTGAGATGGTTGTGAGATTCGTGGCTGACCACTAGCAGCCATGCAGGTCACGGAGCGGCCGCAGTTTTGCAAGATTGACGGTAGGGTGCAAGGGTGGGATGCTGTTCAGGGCGCTGTTTGGGGTACTGTGACGGTGCGGGCTCATTTTTGCGAGATTCAACGCTTGGTGCTTTGCGAGGGTGCTGTTCGTAGTGACGGTGCAGGCGCATTTTGCGAGATTGACGGCTGGATGCTGTTTGGGACGCTCTTCGGGGGGTGCTGCTAGAGGTGCTGGCGTGCAATCATTGGCATGCTTTTGCTATCTGGGGTCTATGCTGGTACACATGCCTTTTCTTTTTGTTGGTGTGTGAATTTTATTTTGGATTTCTGACAGTCCAAAGAAAGGGGACTGCAATTTTAGGAACCGGTGGACTTTAAGGGCTCTTGGAAGGACCTCAGTTGCTCGCCTTCTTGAGGCTTGTTTGGATTGTTTACACGCGGAAACCCGAAGAAACAATCCTCACAGGGCTAGACATCCATAGGTGTCATTTAGGTGACTTTTCAATCAAACTTCTTGTGGCCAGCCCACTCAGGAAGTGAGTCATTGGTACGAGTTTGTATCCAAGAAGGCCACCGATTTGGAGAGACGCATGACATTGTGTACTTGGCCTGTTCTCGCAAACCCGAGCGTGCCAGGGCCCCTGCCCGCTGATGCCCAGGCTGGTCCCCCAGCTCTTTGACCAATGCCAATGTAGACCCCGGACAATGTAAACTCGGGCCCCCAAAATGAAGCGCCCCCTCTCAAATCAACACCCTTTTGGCGGTTTCTTACGTGATCGATCTTCAAGGTGGTCAAAGGCGCACCCTGATCCTTGCATCTTGCGAGCGGGCAAAGCCCAGGCGCAGGACTTGAGACCTCGGCTGATGATGCAGGAGCCTCAGTTGTGGCGGTTTGTTTTGTCGGCTGCCTTGGCATTACAAGCAACACCTGCGGGGTAGAGTTGGGATGCACGTTGCCGTTGATGCGGCCATCGCATGAATCCCCTCAATGACACCCATGTTGAGCCAAAGTGAAGCAAGCTGCAGAGCATAAACTTGTCGCAACGGCAGAGGAGAGAGACTTCACTTGACTTGCGTGGCATTTGGGCGTGGGTTTTGCATGCCGAATCTGGCTTCAGATGAGCCCATGGCCGAGGGTCGAAACCATAGCCACCTCAGGCACAGGGATTCGTGTGTTTTGTTTGGGTCTAGCTCCTGCAAATGGCTGCGAATATTAATGGGGAGCAGCCCTTCAAAGTTAGTTTGTGGACACACGCCTCCATGTACTTCATGTCCGCCAGCGCCTCTCTTGAAGTTCATATACTGAAGATAATTGCTAGTTTCCAACAGACGCTGTTTCAGCCATGCAGCACGTGTCACGGCGCACGTGGCTCCCAGTCTGCGCCTGCAGCCTGGGCGGCCTGGGCGGCCTTGGGGGGCTGGGGGTCCGGGCCTTCCTTCAGCTCGGGCTGGTCTTACCGCCTCAGCTGGTGGAGAGCAGCTACGAGCTCCTGGCGGAGAGTCTTTGCATCCCGCGGCGCTGGCACGTGGACGGCCGGCACGGAGTGCGCGTCGCGCGGCTCAGGGAGCGAGGCCGGGACCTGCGGCTGGTGCCTTTGCGCCCGGGCTGTGCAGAGCAGGACCTGCCCCCAGGCATCCGGGAGCTGCTGCGTGCGCACCGAGCCCAGCTTATCGACCTGAAGAAGGAGGACCCAAAGAAAAACTCCGCGTCAGAGACGGTGCCGTCGGCACGCACAGCCGCAGTAGCCGCGACGCCAGCTTCTGGCGCCTTCCGTTTCGCAGAGCTCTTCGCAGGTATTGGGGGCTTTCGAGTGGGGCTGGAGGCATTGGGTGGGACCTGTGCCTTCGCCTCAGAGATCGAACCCTTCACCCGCGAGGTCTACGACCTGAACTTTCCCGACGGACCCTCGGTGTACGGGGACATCCGCGCTGTGAGCGACGCCGAGATCCCGGAGGTGGACATTGTGGTGGGCGGCTTCCCGTGCCAGCCCTTCTCAGCCCTAGGCACGCAGCCGGCCTTCAATGACGGCCGTGGCTTGCTGTTCCACGAGATCGTGCGGGTTCTGCGGGCCTCGCACGCCAAGGCATTTCTGCTGGAGAACGTGCCAGGCCTGTTGAACTGCGACGAGGGCCGAGCGCTGCAGGCCATTGTAGGAGAGCTGAGGCTTGCAGGATACGAGGTGTTCGTGGAGACGGTCAATGCTAGGGCCCTCACAGCCCAGGCCCGGAAGAGGGTCTTTTTCTTTGGCTTCAGAGACGTCGATACCTCAAACTTCAGTTTGCCATTCATCCCGGACCTGCAGCTGCGCGCACGCGACATCTTGGAACCTGAGTCGGAGTTGCAGTACCTGGAGGACTACACGCTGAGCGAAGAGCATTTCGAGAGGCTGCGCACTTCCCGCAAGTGGTCCCAGCGGGGCGGTATGACTGAGACGTTGGCGTGGGCAGACAAAGTCTGCGCCACGTTGGTGGCGCACTATGGGACCAGCATCGCGAAGGGCAACTCCCAGCTGGTGCCGCGCTGCGCCCCTCACCCGCCCCGGCGCTTCTCAGTCCGCGAGTGCGCCCGGCTCATGGGCTTCCCGGACACCTTCCGCCTCACCGAGCCCTCCATGTCAGACCCCGGCCGGCCGGCGTGGTTCCGCAGTCTGTACAAGATGCTGGGCAACAGCGTTAGCCCTCCCCTGGTAGCGGTTCTAGCAAGCGCTCTTAGGATCTCCAGCGGGGCTGCCGAGGGCCAGAGTGCAGCACTGCGACTGGCGCTTGGTGCTGTGGCGCCCCATCGCCGGCCAAGGCTCCTCCGCGCTTTGCACCCCTCCTGGCAGTCAGCATTTCCGGAAAAAGTGAGCGACATCGGGCGACGGCGACGGCGCCGCCTGTGGCTTGGGGGCCGTGGGGGTGGCTCACTTGGCTCACTTCCAGCTCTGAGGCGGCCCGCCATGCCTCGGGCTCCGGCGCCGCGCGGGGCTCATCCGCTTGCCTTGTTCTGGGCCCTGGGTTAATGAACTCCTGCTCGACTAGAGAAAACCACCCTCAATCATTTAATGTTCCGTCAGGCTTACACATGCGGGGTTAACATTAGAGACCCCAAACCACCCATCCAAAGCACAAATTAAGGACAATTGGATAAACAACCAACTGTACTGAACTATGCATTTGTATATTACGTACGAAATACTATTTCGTTTCAAAAGCTCAGTCACATAATATCTGCTTGTTTGTCCATTTGTTTGTTTATTCATTTACTTATTAACTTATTTATCGGTTTTTCTATTCTACAGACTTGTGATCCAGGTTCCGGCAGTGCTCGGAGGAACAGTCCACAGTTTGCAAGCAAGACACTGGATTGTATAATTCCATGAGAGTGGACATTTGGTTGTGGCCAACGCGCCACGGTGCTTCCAAATGTCAGTGTTGAGCTCCTGGACCTGTGCCCTTTCTGCGCAGGCAGTGGAGCGGGGAAGGCGGCAGCATGTCGCAGAAAGCTCAGCTGAAGCTTCATTTGATCCCCTCGACTCAATTGCAAGGGGAGGTTCTGATCGTGCTCTTGGCCAAAAGATGCCAAAAGCCGCGAAAGGGTTCGCCTTCCAAAACAGCCCCGCGGGAACGCCGCGGGATCCAACTTGTGGCAGGCTATCGGAGGAGCGCCAAGCTTGAGGTCCTCTGCGCCTTGTCCATCCACCCCGTGCCCTTCCAGTGCGTGCCCTGGCCCCATGCTCTGGCCTCAAGGAACGAGCTCTCTCTCTCTCGCTCGCTCGCTCTCTTCGCTCTCTTTTCTCTCTTTTCTCTCTTTTCTCTGTGTTTAGTGTGTCTCTTTGTGCGTGTGTGTGTGTCTCTGTGTCTCTGTGTCTGCGTCTATGCCTGCGTGTCCGTGTCTGTTTCTTTGTGTCTGTTTGTCTGTGCGTCCATGTTTTCTTGTGTTGTGCTGTGATGTGGGTGTGTGCCTGTGTGTTTGGGCGGTGGGTGTTCTTTTTTGGGTGTTTGTGGCGTGATTGTGTGCAATTTGTGCGGCGTGCTATCTGTGTGCGTGTGCACTTGCCTCTCGCTTCGTTGGTGTCTTTTTCCGTGACGGAACAGGAGGTTTGTTGACAGGGCCCGGCGCTCCACAGGCAGCGAGTCACTGAGTCAAGGGCTTTGGTTTGCCGTGCATCCGCAAAGGCAGGTGCCGCCGCGGCCGGTGCGGCTGCAGCCTCTGAAGAGCGGCGTTTGAGGGAAGAGCAACGGCTTCCCATCCAAGGACTCGACTTGTGCAACATTCATTTCCATATATGCGGGGGTCAAAACTAGGACCCCTGTTGGTACCCGAAGATGTCTGGCGTCACCAGGGTCCAAGGGGCAACTTTGACCCACTGGGGCTGAATGAGGCCTGGACCCTCTGCTGGTTAAGCCATCTCTTGTTGGGGTGTCTTCCATGAGCTTCTTCAACAGTCACAGTGCATGCGGCGGCTGCGGCGGCACAATCGGGGGCCTTTTCCCATGGAGTGTTTGAGGGTATCTTTTGCACCGCAGCTGGACCAAAAGGAAAAGCGAAAAGCCCTTCAGGTGAAACCCCCGGTTTTGGGCGCGGACCCATGCCCTTTGCATCGTAGCTCACCTGGCCCCAGGTCCCCACGCCCGCCCAGCGGTCCACCACCGAGGCTCGCTTCATGGGGGGAGCCTCGACTCGGCTGTGTGTTCTTCGTGACTGATGCCCCTGTTTGGGAGCCCTTCAGGCAGTTCCTTTGAGGGATTCACTGATTTTGGCGTTCTCTCATTCCGAGGCAAACCATTGTGCCAAGCTTTGATAAGACCAGGGACCATTGAAAGAAAACGGGATGGTTTGATTGGCGCCCCACAAGGGGGGAGGGAGTGCAAGAGGCTCCATATGCTCTTCAGGGAAAGCAACTGGAGCCCTGCCAATGTGTGCGCCTCCCAGGCAGTTGCTGAATCACTTGGTGCGGCCCTCAGTTGGGCCTTGGGGTTCAAAGGTCTGGATAGTTGCTTGCTCGGCAATTTTCCGTCTGATCTCTCCCTGTGCGTGCTCGATTGGAATCCCGAGTTTCAGGCAAACACCGGAGCGAAGGCGGGAGAAGGCTGGGCAGTTGGTTCGCACTACATCTTTTTGGTTTTGCTTTGGTGCCAAGGCAGCTTTGTGAGCGGCTTTGTCGAGCTGTCGGGCTAAATGAAATCGAGCACAGGGATCTGCAAACTGCGATTGAACTGCTTTGCTTGGGAGGCTGGCCAGGGGAACTTGCGAGGACCGGTGCGGCATGATGCGCATCAAAGAGGCTTGTAGAATGTAGCCAGGTCAAGCACGCAACTTGATAGGGCCGAAGTTTCAAATATATAAGAACTATGGCTTATGGTTTGGAGCGCGCTTCCTCTTTTTTGTTTTTCTCTCTTCCTCTCTCCCTCTTCCTCGTCTTCTTTCTCTTTCACGTTCTCTTGCTCTTCCTTTTTCACATTTTCTTCCTTTTTTCTCTTCCTCTTTGTCTTTCTTTTGTTCTTCCTCTTCTTCCTCTTCTTCCTGTGTTTTTCTTCCTATTTTTCTCTTCCTCTTTGTTAGTCTTTCTCTTTCTCTTCCGCTTCCTCTTTCTGTTTCTCTTTCCCACCGAAAGTCCGCACAGGGTTCTGCGAGCGACGAAGTGAGCAACGCAAACACAAACACATGTTTGAAGGTCGACCCACCCAAAATCCGCAGAGGGTTCACGTTTTGAAGGTTCCGAAACAGCGCGCGCGGCCGTGCCAATGGGCCCCAGTCCGCTCCGAGCCCGCTCTGACACCGCCCCGCGCCCGCTCCAGACCGCTGTTACGACAGGTGGTTTGCGCACATGCAGAAAAGCCGACTCCGACGTTGTTGGGGCAAGCGCTTCCGGGTTAGCTTGCGTCCTGCGCCCTCCTTGTTGGAGGTGGCAGCACTTGGGACTCTCATGGCCATGAATCTAATGGGAACCCTGGAGCCTGTCTGGACGGTCCGCAATTTACCCCCCTGTCCACTAAGATGGAACTTGATTGAGGGGTTTTGGATGGTTATTTTTTTCAAAAGGATCCCTCCGGTGAATTCCATGTTAGTGGACAGGAGGGCAAACTCATACCATCGTGCTTCCTTCTTGTCAATCAGGGCTGAGCTCAGAGCCCTAAGTTATCTTGGTGGTTGCATTCACCTGCTGGTTGATGTCATGAAGGCGCAGCCACGTTTGCCATACTTGCCAATGCAGGAGTGAGCCTGGTGATATGGAATGGCGCGAGTGGGAGCCTTTGGCGTGACACAGATTTTGCTGGCGCAGATGCACGCTCTTCAGGGCTCTAGTTTTTGAGACCACGGCCGGCAAGTCGCCTGATCCAGTTGTCCAGGCCTGTCAAAATGTCTCGATCTGTCAAAAGCATGGCAAGCGGCGGCTAAATGTCACCAGCTTTTGCAACCTGAAACAAGGGCTTAGCCCGACAAACATCAATTGTCGGGATCTCCTTTTGGGAACTTCATACCAGTTTTGTGTAAGCGAGTCCGGCATAGCCTCCGCAGTCAAACAATTGGTGTAAGGGTTTTTGGTGGAAAGGTCCAGGTCTCACCACCCCAGGCCGCCCCTCGGGCCGCCTGCAGGGCTTGCGCCCCTTGGGCCACCTCTGGGGCCGCCCCTGGGGCCGCCCCCCGGGCCACCCCCGCCCCCGCCTCCCTTGGAAGAGGACGGGAGATGGCTGTTCTTTTGGACCACGTGTGTGTTTCAATACAATGGGTGCGCGTTGTTCAGGTTGAATTGGGGTCCCCTATTTTTGTAAGCACGCTTTTGGTTTCAGCTTGGTGGCTTGCGGGGAACTGCCAAACTAGACCATGAAAAATGATCAACTGTTTGGCACGTTGAACTTTGCATCAGAGCATGGGCTAAGAGCATCTTATTGAAGAGCAGCAAGCGGATTGAAAGGGCTCACCCAGGCTGCGCATGTCGGCATGCGTGCATTGCGTTTGGGCCGCGTGAAGCTTCAGGCGTGCATCCACCGTGATAGTAGGCCTCAGCTTAGGGGCCTAAAAAGCTGATAGCTTGTTTGGGCATATCGCTATCATTCGCTATCAAACTTTGCCTGGTAGGGCAGGCGGCCTGGAGCTGCTGGTAACCACAAGCATTGCACGGACAGCTTGAACTCACCAGCTTCTCCTTTGTTTCAAGTTGTTTCAAGCCCAGCCCCCTCTCCCAGTGGATAACAATTCATCTTCTGAGGGAAGCTCATATTGATCAGGCGACTTGGCGGGTCGTCCCCATCCCATGGTCGTCCACTAACATGGACCCCCTCTGCCTTTTCCTTTTTGAGGCAAGTTGTCTTCCGGGACCGGCCGGTCAGCTTTTATGTGGATGGGATGATGCCATTCAAAGGGTCTGCTGACGGATGTCCACCCACCTCCATGTCCTTCCTCTAGGAGTACACGGTGATCCGGTCGACCACCGACACGGGCTCAGAAACCAAGGTGTCAAAATTGGATCATGGACTTTAAAGGTGGGTCGGCATTTGCACCTTCCGCGAGTTTTTTGCAATGACACTGCAGTTGGTTGGCGGTGGGTGGCCTTGGGGAATGCCCCAGCTTCGGGCAAGAAATAGCCCATGATCTTGGTGCATCTCCAAGGGCGCCAAAAAGAGATGGATCCTTTTTCAGTTTTCCTCCCCCCCCCCCCCCCAAGTGTTTTGCTGGGGCTCGCAGCCAGGCCAGCAAAAATGCGCCGGCCTCGCCTCCGGCTTCTTTGAGACCATCCGCGTCGGTGTCCTTGAGGCCAAGGTTTGTGGCGCCAGCTGCACTTTTCCTGTCAGTTTGGTATAGCTCAACCGCTTTCAGTTGCACCATGGTAGTTTACATATAAAGGGGGGGGCTGCAGTGCGTGCCTGCGCAGAAAAGGACATTTGGTGCCCCATTCCATTTGCAGGCGCCGCTGGCATGAGGCGCAGGGTTTTTTTGGGGCGTTGGGGTGACCTGCATTGCTTGCGCCCCTAGATGTGTTTGCTCTTGTGCTGGACGTCTTGATACGGGTGTGGCCAGGTTGGGCAGAGGAGGATCTATGGTGTTTGTGATTTTTTTCCCTAGCCCTAGCCCACTTCAGGGAAGAGCCGTTGAAAGCCCCGCCAGGGGTTCTAATGTGAGGTTTCAGTTTGCAACAGTTTGCGTTTTTTGTTGTTCAGCGCTTGTTTCGCGTGCAAGCCGCTCTTTCGCCGCTGCCATCTTAGTCTTCAGAGTTGTGGAATAATGGACGCCGCCTTGGAGAGTATCTTGGTCCGGCGGCTGCATTTATGGCCGCCTTTTGTGTCAGAGGGTAGGGCAAAGGCTCAGTTGGTGGTTTGGATTGGCTCGACTATTGACTGTAGGCATTGAGCCAAAAAGGTGAACGCATCCCAAGTGTCCCAATGGATTCACTCACCCACTACCTGGCCACCCCCTTTCCTGCAATGGAAATTTGGGAGAAATGCCCCATGTTGGGCCCGTTTTGGCCGGGCAAGGGTGCAATGACTCCCCCCAGTCCCGGGTGAAAGGAGAAGAACGACGGGTCCTCGGCTCGAGGACTCGCTGGAGCTGGGGAGTTTCAAGGAGAAGCTCCAAGAGCTGGGGCTGGTGGCTTGCGGGGACGTTGGTTTTCTGCTGGATGCGGACCTGAAGCAGGCCGGGGCCTTGGGGTCGGAGAGGGGTCCGAGTCGGAGGGCCTCGGGTCGCGAAGATGCTGTTTTACTTTTGATGGGGAGCTTGAGGGCCGGGGTGGTGCTCAGAAGTTGGACCTGTTATGAGAGGATGTTTGAAAGAGCGCCGCTATGAATCGAATATTGAATCGCACTTCGCTTCCCTCCGCGCCTCTCGGATCGGATCGAGGCGGGGCTGACGCTGGTGCAGACGCGGAAGCTGCAGGCGCGGGTGCGGCAGGACCAGGAGCTGCAGAAGCAGCAGGCGCAGGACGCCGAGGCACGCGCTGACCCGAGGCTCCAAGTGGTTTGAGGTGACCCCGTTTCAATCTCAGAGAATGGGAGGCAAGACAAAAGCCCAACTGGCTGGCAACCACCAAGGGCTTGCAGAGTGGGACGCCTTGAGAGCACTACTCGTTGCGCCCGGGTTGCTTTTCAAGACAAAGCAGCCCACCAAAGTCTCCCTCCCTCACGCTTGAGCACGATGTCGCCTCTAGGTTGGCAGCTTGTGGTCGACTTGCAATGTTTGGCCGGGGCTATGTCCCCCTGCTCGGCTTGGAACAGACCTTGTCGGAACGCCATCAGAGAGAGAGGGAGAGAGAGGGAGAGAGAGAGAGAGAGAAGAGAGAGAGAGAGAGAGAGAGAGAGAGAGAGAGAGAGAGAGAGAGAGGGAGGGAGGGAGGGAGGTCCCCAGTTTTGTCGTTTTGTCATCGGAGAACAGCTTTCAGCCCCAGCCTTTTGCAGGCTGCGCGGTCCAGCCGCAAGCGGCCCGCGGAGGCGAGCTTTGGAGCTCGGGGCACGGAGGTTGGATCCGCTGCTTTGCCCAAGTTCTTGCTGGTGGTACCAAGGGCCCTCCGGCCACTAACCTGGAACCAGTCTGGAGGCCCATGAAAGACAACTTTTTCTCTAGGGGACCTTTGCTGACTCTGGCAAGTTCTATGCTGGCCAGTGAGCATGTGTGGGAGGTCCAGGGCGAGCCACGTGGAAAGCGGCCTTGCGACTTAGCGAGGTGCCCGGGGTGGGGGGTCGGGTGCGGGGAATGCGACGCTGCACTTGCTACAAGTGGGACAGTGCACGCGCAAGCGCTTGTTTTTGCCTCTTGGCTTCTGCCTTTTTGTTCCCGACAGGAGTTCGAGAAGTCGCTATTTGCCCGCAGCCCTGACTTGCAACAGTACAAGCCTTGCCGCAAGCGAGGATTCTTAAACAAGCGTCCCGACCGCTGCCAATTCCCAGACTGTGGCCGAGTCATGTTCGGCCAGTTCAACAATATCCCTCGCGCAATGCTGTGGAAGTCCCGTTTTTAAGTGCTAAAGGCCAGGATGTGCCAGAGAAATTTCCGCGTCGCCAGCTTTTCCGCGTCTGAGGTGCTCGAAGTGGTTTTTTTCTGCTCTGGACGGTTCTCGTTCTGTTTAAGTGTTTTGGTTGCAAGGGGAGGGCGGATTTTTCATCCGCCCTGCCTCAGCAGTTGTTGTTGCCTTGGGGGCCACCCCCACTTTGCAAAGAGCAACGACTTGAGCTGCTTTTCACATGGCAACGACCTGGGAGGACTTCTTTGTCACTTTGTCAAGGAAGAGGCTCCCCTCGCCGTCTGATTTTCATCCGGCCGCTTGGAGTCATTTTGGATTGAGGGGGCAGAGTGCATGGTGTGCAAAGGCTTTGGCATGCAATCAGCATGTTTGTTGGCCAATGGCCAGTTCAAGCCGTGTCTGCAAATGCATCTGAGGCATGGAGAGTCGGGGTGCCCAGCATGCCAACATGCACAAAGCAACACTAGTGGGAAGAGTGATGATGACAATATGGGTGTGTTCGAAAACTAGGGACGACACCCAACCAACACATGCGCTCAAAAAAGACCCACGCACTTCTGGCTATGGCCATTTGCGCCGTTTGAGGTCTGAAGCCAACGTCGCTTGGACGCATTAATGCGTAATCTTTGGAATCTAGAGGGCAGTGCTAATCATCCCGCTGAAATCAATCAGTCCGACACCAAAAGGGAGCCACTCCAATGCTGGGCGCAGGTCAACCGGAAGATCACAGCAGCCCGCCCGCATTGGAAGCGAGACGCGCTGGCTGCCTGCAAGGGCCGCGCATGAAGCGCCAACTGAGCATTGCTCGTTGGATTTTTGCGTTAAGGTTGCAGGGAGTTCAAAGAGGGCTTGTCGTGTGGAAAGTCGACGGGTTGTGTGTGTGTGTTTTTCCGGATTTATGGCAAGGTCACGGTCCCTGACCACAATCTGCACTTGACTCAGAGGCACGTGTGGGAGTTCAGACTTGGGCAAGTTCTCCACAATCACGCCCGAAACATGGGGAGGGCTAGCCGCGGTTGTCGAGTCACATTCACATTGCCCTGCCTTGGAGGCCCTGCATGTGCTTTCGGTCTTGTGAGGGGTTGTCGCAGTACGAATCTCCGGACGTTCATGGGAAGACAACTTGCGGCGATCTGAGGTCTGAGCACACAACTGGGCGTTGGATGTGGCAAGTCACTCGCGAAACCAAAACGGCACACGGCGCAGGGGCAGGCAGCAGGCCATCAATGCAGGAGAGCGTCTCAAGGAAGTGGTGGGTGACCTTGGCTGCAGAGCGACGCCGTTTGGCAGTTCCCAAGGAGACCAAACCGCAAACATCAACATGCCCTTCATGTTTGGAGTTTCACCTGTGGAAGCATGCAATTGTTGCCGCTTGTGTTGAGTTCTGTTCCGATCGTTTGCAAACGCAAGTGCGGTGATGAAGTAACTTAGTTTTTCATAGCGGTAAAGTGACACTGTCAAACTCATCCTCAAGGTGGCTTTCATGCCATTCCCGTCCCAAACCGTGTTCGATTGGCGCAACACCGCACCCACTGCACCTGGACTCTTTGGGGAAATCTCATATCCCCGTTTCCCTTTTTTCTGGCTGTCGTGAACTCTCGGGGGGTTGGGTCCCAAGGCGACGGCTCCCTGAGGCATGGGGAGAGCGGGCAAGGGACATTGTGCCATCTTTTCTCTTCATATTGAGGCTAGACCTATCTAGATACAGTGCGTTCCCACATTTCCGACGTCACACGGCAGCTGCGCCAATTTTACACACCACCTGGGTCATTTTGAGGTGAGCTAGATTTGGGGTGATGCTGTGATGCTGATGGGGGAAATGTGGCTCCTTTCCCGACGAATTCGGAGGTTCACCTACTCTCCGTACGTGAGGGCACGTGGCACGGCAGCACCAGGCTCTTGTGCGTGGCGACTGTGTAGCTGGCCTTGTCCAAAGGAGAAATCGTACTTGCATAAATCCGAAAGAGGTATGAGCACGGTTGGTGAACATCAAAAGGGCCCCTCAAAATTCAACCACAAATAGGAACTGCTTTGTTTGGGTGGTTGTGGCCCACTCACAAAGTTTATTTCAACGCAACTTGCCCCTTTTTCCACTCGGAAGCTGCCGAGGTGAAACACTGCATGGCATATTGCGCGCTTGGGACCGCCAGTGGCCTTGCTACGAGGACGCGGCCTGGCACGATTTGGCCTAAATCTCCCCATGTGGGGATTGGATTTAGCGTGCGGCTGTTCTGGGTTTCTTGGTTCTTGGTTTCTTGGTTGGTTGGTTGGTTGGTTGGTTGGTTGGTTGGTTGCGAGGGCGCAAGCTGTCGCTGGAAGGTACGCATCCGAGAGCAGGAGTTCGGGCTCCTCGGCACGATGGCAAGTTGACCTGCTGATATTTTGAGTGGCGCTGTCATTCAGGAGAAGCATAAAGGACCCGTTTACCCTCAGAAACGTTCTGATAATCTTTCTAAGGAGCCCTCAAAGGTTCTAAGAGGTTGTCGCGGGGTCGGGGGGGGGGGGTGTGTGCCCTAGCCCAGGAATTACGACAGCCCGGACATGAAGGCGAGCAAACGTAGTCTCAAGCGGTTCCAAAGCCCATGCATTCCGTTTAGTATTTCGATTTTCCAGGCCAACGTGAAGCATGTGCTTCCTACTGGGTGCAAGGGGGGAGGGAGGGTGTGTATGTGTGTGTGTGCACGAGGAACAGTGCGGCAGTCAGAAGGCGTGGGGAAGACAAGCTGCCCAGGCAACCCTCTCCCCTTTCAAGCCTTCCTGGTAGAAGTGCTCGTGTCGAAGCTGCCTGAACTCTTCCAGATGTGGCAGCTGCGGCTCCAGTTCCACCGCCCGGCAAGATCACTCCCAGGTTTCAGGAACATCCGAAAAGCAGGAACGAACACCAGCACCAACTGTGGCGGAAAGACAGCTTTCAGGAGAGTAGTTTTGCACAACCCTCAAGTCCTGGCAGGCGCTACACAAGGAGAA